TTTGATCATTAATTTTATAATTATTAACAATAACTTTTTGCCGTTTAAAATGTATATTCTTTGATATTTAAATTCACTAGATTTATTAAATTTAGATGTATAAATTTTGTGTGAATAATTTTTTTTTAGAGAAATTAGGTTAACTCATTTCATCTACAATATGGTAAACAATATTAGGAGAGATATGATTGTAATCATGATGACTAGCTTGAGGCTCGAATGACTTGGCTAAAATATATGAGCAATCGAGTTAGCTTATCTAGAAGTGAAACTGACCTCACAATATTTAATCTATTCAAAAGATACTTACAGTTTCTTATAATAGTCTCAAATTCAAAAATATTCAAAATTGAACCATTAACACAGTCAACAACCTGCTTATAGTCTGATTTGAAAATAATGTCATCCAGTTGTTGATCCAATGCCCAATTAAAAGCATCTTGGAGTGCAATGGATTCACACTCATGTGAAGTAGGGAGAAATGTAAACATATTAGTTTTAGTTTTAGGAAAGAGTCGTCCTTGTCTCAAATACACACTTCAGTGATGAAACCATGATCCAAAGGGAAGAGGGCCAACGTCCAAGTTACACTTCAACATACCCTGACGAGGCAGAGTCCACTGCGGCTTCAAGGAAGGAAAGGGTATACGAAGATCATCTTTAGATAGTTGACAAGCTTGAGATCATGAAGTAAAAGAATCATTCGCTTTAAACAGTGCATCATGGCAGTCTCATTCCTTGCCTTCCCAGAGTTTCTTGTTTTTACAAGACTAGATACTCCAAATGATCATAACCAACTCCCTCACCAGCTTGGGATCCCACAACTACAACAATGCAAAAACAAAAACTATTAAACTATCAAATTTATCCTTTAATGAATTCACTTGTAATCTGAACGAACAAGTTGCCCAACATTGTTGCGCAACTCTACAATCTAAAAAAATATGTCAAGTACTCTCTAACTGATGCTCACATGGAATACACAAGTTAGAACAATTCACTCCTCTACACTGAAGATTAATTATCGTGGGGAGTACATCTCTACAAATCCACCAAAGGAATGTCTTAACCTTTGTAGGCACTTGGTGATTCCAAATTTTATTCTAATGACCATCAACTCTTGAATAATTAGAATCCACCGTTTGATTCATGTAACCATTCTACGTAGATTGTTCTAAGAATCTACCATCCTTACTCCAACGCTAGATGTGTTGATTTTTGCCTTTTACACTCGAGAGGGGTATGTTGAGAATAACTTTCCTATCCTTATGTTGAAAAAGATCATTGATCAAATCAATATTCCAACAACCAGTATCTTTGATTATAAGATCTTCCACTCTGAGATCTTGAAGCCCTTCACTAACTTTTGTCTGAATCACACAATTGCCCTTAGAATTCCTTAACCAAGGATCATTCCATACACTAATCTCAACCCCTCTCCCCACCTTCCACCATGACTTTCCTTCACCAACTTGAGAGAATTCCAAATATTTTTCCACAAATAGCTAGGGTTGTTACCAAGAGGAGCATTAATAAGATCCACTTTCAAATGATATTTAGATTTAATAAGCCTGCTTACAATGGAGTTAAGTCCTTTTATTAGATGCAAAGCAAGATTAAAAGTTCATGGGTTTCTAAAACCCAAGCCACCAAATTCTTTCTTCATATATAGTCAACTTATCCCAACGAAGCCAATTCAAACCCTTATCTTGACCAAACATAGAATCCCACTAATAAGAGTTCATCATTTTCTCAAGCTCCTTACAAATGTTTTTCTGGAGAAGTTAAATACTCATGATGTAGGAGGGGATAACTTGTAGAAAATATGTGTGAATAAAATCTTATTCACAAAAAATATTTAGTGTCTCTCAATATATTATAGAATTTAAAAATAAAACAAAAAATAATAATAAATTAAGCGGTTATTTAAAGAGTTCGTGAACGATAATTACTAAAAGAAAAATATTTTCTTTTTTTATTAGTATTTAGATTGTAATGGTCTAAAATTGTGATGAAAAAAAAGAAGTATTCTATTTTTTTTATTAGTATAGATAAATATGTTTAAACGATGATTGACTTGAGAATGTAACCTGTGGTTACTTTTTAAGAATCCTAATCCGAACCATGGGAAATATGGCTGTCATAAATTCAAATCACTTGTTTTATTTGAGTGTTTCTGTTCCTGTAATAAAAAAAGAAAAAATGGACAGCTGGGATACTTCATTTGTATATAAATCAAATAACACTAGATGAATTTTTGTGGTACACCATGACGGATGCAAAAAAAATTTAGATTAGAGATAATATATATATATATATATATATATATATATATTTTTTTTTCTACATATCTTTGACAGTTCCGTTAGACTATAAATTATCTTTCTCTTACATACCGCCTAATCAACAAAACAAAACTTGAAACATGGATACGAGTTATTTATTTATTTTTATTCATTAAAACTATATTTATAGTACTAAAATTCAAATACAGTTTGTATACTACCTCAAACACTCACCATTGATTACTTATATTCAAGACATTAAAGAGTATTTCTTATTTAATGAATTTTATGCATCTATGATTTTAATAAATTTGAATGAATAAAAAAATTACTAACATACCACGTGTGCCCTTCAAGAGATTAACTAGACCAATAATTATTATTAGTTTCCGCTCATTATTGGTGTTCTAATATATTCATGGCTTTAGGTTATTAATCAGTAATCAATGACATTCTTGGCGCCACCACGGAGTACTCGATTAACATGGGTCCATCTTCTGTTTAAAAGCGCAACAAGAACGCGCGGTGATGAATCTAGAATATGGAACTTTAGAACGCATTACGTACACTTTTCCAGTTTAAACTTTAAAGTGAGCTATGAGAGTGGTATATTTGCTTTTCTTTTCTACATCCATCTTTTAATCCCTTTGAGCAAAGGATCGGAGGCATTTTACGTGTTATATAGATAAAGGAATTTTCCATTTCCAAGATTTGAAGCTGTAAACTATTCCTACAAAAGGATAACGTATGTACCAAAAAAAAATAAAAATAACAAGATCAGGGTTAATGAGATCTCCGTGCCCGTGCGAGTTTGTATGCATATATGGCATTCAATAAACATTGTATAATTAAATATGATCAATTACAGGGTGAATAATTTTTACACTTTCATACAATCACTTATATATTGTAAATTTATTGATTTATATAATAAATATTTTAGTTATGTATTATAAATTTATTGACTTATATAATAAATAATTTTAAAATTATATTAATTTAATTTTTATTGAATAATAATATAAAAAACTTCACCTTTATAATGGATAGAAAATAAACAAATAATTATGTTTTGAAGACTCTTTTCTCTTTCTCTCTCTCACACATATATTAAAAATATGTTAGAAATGAAAAATAAAAATAAGATTCAGTTACTTTTAATTTTATACAAAGTTTTAAATTAAGAATACGCCTGGCTGTGATTATTGGGAGTTATGGTTACGGCTAGGAGGTGGTAGAGAACACTTAGAAATGGCTGCTGATACGAAGAGGATTTAATCCAACAAAATTACTACCAATTATGAAAATTACGTAATGAATTTGTATCTCTGTGCTGCCATGTTTTGACTAAAAGAATTGTTTAACGGAATAGGTTGCCTATAGCATTTATATATCGATGGAGGATTAATAAATAGAAAGGCATAATAATGAAAGCATGCATGGGTGTATATACTTTTGTGAGTAGGGGTAGGCAAAATGAACTGAACTAAACTGAATTTATAAAAATTATACTGAACTTAAAAGTAGTTCTCATGAACTGAACTAAACTAAATATTAGTTTAGATGAACTGAACTGAACTATTTTTTTGTGTCATTAAACTGAACTTAATTATACTATAAAAACTTGAACTAAGCTGCAATTTAAACTGCAGTGAACTGTTATGATATTTTGAATTGAACAATTTTGACTCATTAATTTATCAAAATAGGATACATTTGCCAACTTTACTTTATTTTCCATTTTATTTAAATTTTTTAAAGAAAAAAAATATAAAATTAAGTCAAACAAACTTAGTGAATTTTAAGCCTAAAAATAAATAGTCCAACATAGCTCAATTGATCCATTAGGTTCGATAAAATTGATACAGTTTTTTTTCACTTTTTTCCTAAAATTTTGGTTATTAGACTATCGAGTTAATTCATTAAGACATAACATGTTAGACATATTTAATTTTTATTCTTTTATAAAATTAGTTCAAATTTTATAATTCAGTTCAGTTTTATAGTTCAGTATAATTAACTTTCCAATCGTTCAGTTCAATTTTTTTTAAACAGTTCAGTTCAATTTTTTTACAAACAATTCAATTTTTTATAATACAGTTTAATTCAGTTTACTACCGATTTAGTTCAGTTTTTTTTACCTATCCTTATTTGTGAAAAGGAAAGAAGCAGTTTAGTTTATAATGACGACAATTTAGTATTATGTGAAAAGGAAAGAAGCAGTTTGTTCTTTGGTAGCGGAGGGATCCAAAAGGAAGGAGACAGATATCGAGACCAACTACAAGACAATTTAACAAGTAACATTCTTAACGTCTTCGCTGCTCTCTTTAATACACACTTTCTATTATTATTATTTATTATTATTATTATTTTAATTTTCCAGATAGGAATTTTTTATAAATAATTATTGTTTATAATTAAAATCCGTCTTTTATTTTGACTAAATTATTAATCAGTCCCATTGACGTTTAATTTTCTCTACCGACCGTTTTTATTACGTTCATAATGTTCAAAACTTCAAATGCAAAAATTCATTTAAAAAAATAGGTGTAATTAAAATTATTTATATATAAATATAAATATATTGACGTTGTGTTAATTTGATGGTCACGGCGAGGAAGAAATATGATGGTTTTGATGATGATCCTGCATGGGTCCCTTCTCTTTGTGTTTCCTATATTCCACTCCAAATTAACTAACTAATAAAATAAATAAAACTTGTTTGTTTTTTCATAATTTGTTGTTTCTGGACTGGGAAGTCGGATCAGATATGTAGGGCTACGTTCATGCGAAACAGTACAAATAAATAATCACAATTATTTTAGTAATTTTTTTTTTTTTTTAAAAGAGGGAGAGAGCATTGTTTGTTTGTTTATGATATTGAGGAGAGGAGAGGAGATTTGTGTTTAGGATAGTTGGAGAGTGAGTGAGTGTGAGTAAGTCTTTGTTTGTGCAGTGCACGTCCATGGTCCAATCGATTATTACTGAACAAGTGAGAAAGAAAGAGGGTACTAAATTAGGGTTTGTGTGAGGATGTGAGTGTGGATGTAAGAACTAAGAATGGGTGTGAGTGTGGGAAAGTTCACGACGAACCTGGCCGTCATAGCGCAAGCCAACAATAAATGTAGGAAGCACGTCTGCACGACGTCGTTTCACCACCGCAAGAAGATACCTTGGTCTCTGCTTTGCGGCTTCATGCTATTCGGGCTGGGCCTTATTTCCCTCTTCACGGGCCACATGGCCTCTGATCTCGAATGGTACTCTCACCGATTGGTCCGTCGCACTCTCTACTCTACGCTGGTTCGTCATTTTCCCTTCTCCTTTCCATTCTCGCAAACGCAATCTTCTCAATGTCATTCTTTTTCCACCTCTTTGTTAGGATGGCAACTACCGTGCGCCAATCGATGTTTGGAAATCCCAGTATTCTCAATACTACTATGGATGCTGTGAAAGGGGACGCCGTTATGCTCGTCAGTTTCCAATGCATCTTCTTTCGTCAATTGCCATTCTCAATTTTACCTGTTATCAAGCCAATCATTCGTTTCTTTTTTTCTTTCTTGCATTGGCTCTACCCGAATTAGATACATTTTTCTTTTTGTAACTTCTTTTGGACAAGTTTGTGCAAACAAGGCCTAAGATATGACGTGATTACTCCCTCGTGGTGATGGCACTGCGAAAGAAATTAATTGCGGGAAGTGGAATCGTCTTTTTAATATGCATGTGAAGGGGTGTTGTGTTGTGTTGTTGTTCAATGTTTTCAACACTTGCTCTTGTTTATTGTTAAGCTATGTATGTGAATTTTAGGGTTTAGGATGTTTTCTATGAGGTGACTTAAGGGATGTGTGAACAGATTGAAGGGCTTCGTTTTATGTTTTGATTAGTTTGTGCATGAATTAACTCATAAAATTGGGTTGAGAAGATACTAACTTTTATGTGTCAACTTCTCTCTTATTTTGGTAACCGGATAATGTAGCTGCTGTGAGTGAGCGGATGTCAAATGGGTACTTGCTTATTGGAACTAGCGGAGGACTGAACCAACAAAGAACTGGGGTGAGTAGGACATAAGTTCTATGATATGGTACATCATGATCATTTGAATATCGTGTAAGATCTGTCCTCTTAGTTGCTTGCCTAATGCTTACCGATTAAAAGCATGGAAAAGATAAGAGTTTATATACAATTTTCTCTTAAACAATTTGCTATGATTCAGTTCTTTTCAGAGAATATGATGGTTGGTTTGTTCTCTTTCCTAGTCATGTAGATAATTTTATTTTCTTAAAATAATAATGACTAAGTGCTTTCTGTGGAAATGACAATCATGTTCCTGCATCCAGATAACAGATGCTGTTGTTGTTGCGCGAATTCTTAATGCCACACTAGTTGTACCTGAGTTGGATCATCATTCTTTTTGGAAGGATGATAGGTAATCTGCAGTTCCTTTCACACATTCACCATGAGAATCAAGTTCCTTGATTCGTATAATAAAAACATTTTTGTTTGAATACAGTGACTTCGTCCATATTTTCGATGTTGATTGGTTCATTTCTTATCTCGCAAAAGATATTACTATTGTCAGAAGAGTTCCTGATAAGTTCATGCGGTCAATGGAGAAGCCACCATATACAATGCGTGTCCCAAGGAAATCAGAGCCCGATTATTATCTTGATCAAGTTTTGCCTATACTTTTGAGAAGACAGGTTTGGTCATTTGTTACTGATACATGTTTGAAATTTCTTAATTCTCTAGATGTTTTGATTCATTAAATAACTCTCAAGATGAAACATTAGTAACTCGTTTTGTCAATTTTGGAATATCTCTGAATTTGACTCGGACAACTAACTAACATGTAGGAGATTTTACAGGTTGTTCAATTGACAAAATTTGACTACAGACTTGCAAATAACCTTGATGAGGATCTACAAAAGCTACGTTGCCGTGTTAATTTTCATGCTCTGAGATTTACAAAACCTATACAAGAACTTGGTCAAAGTATTGTTATGAGAATGCACAAGATGGCACACCGCTTCATAGCAGTCCATTTGAGGTTTGTTTGAAGTTTCCCTTTTTGCAACGTTAAAGCATTCTGAAATTTGAAAATCATTGTAATTGGAAATATTTGTTTAACTTCTAGTTTGGGGTCTTAAGGCAGGGAACCTCTCAAATTCAACTTTCTCACGCAACTTAATAATAACAATAAAAGCTTGTTTCACTCAAAAGTATGAAATAGAATAAGGGAAGCAAGGAGGATCCATGGTAATTGCCTCTAATGACAGAATTTGTGATTTATTTATGACAGGTTTGAATCAGATATGCTAGCATTTTCAGGTTGTTATTTTGGTGGGGGAGAAAAAGAGAGACACGAGCTTGGTGAAATCAGAAAAAGGTGGACAACATTACCTGTAAGACTACATTCTATCCTTTCTTAACTGTGCTGACTATCTGAAGCCATTGAAACACATTTTCCTGAACCTGATACGCATTCTAATTGTAAATTAACTTCTGCTGTCCAAGACTTCTTAGATTTGAAAATAACTATTTTTGTGCTGTGATGAAATGAATGAATTATTTCCTCATGATAAAACAGGATTTGAGCCCAGATGGAGAGCGGAGACGAGGGAAATGTCCTCTTACCCCTCATGAAGTGGGTTTGATGCTGCGGGCACTTGGCTTTTCAAATGACACATACCTCTATGTTGCATCAGGAGAAATATACGGAGGGGATGAAACTATGCAGCCTCTTAGAGATCTTTTCCCCAACATCTATACCAAGGAGATGCTAGCTGAAGAAGAGCTGAAACCTTTCCTTCCATTTTCATCCCGCCTTGCTGCTATTGACTACATTGTTTGTGATGAAAGTGATGTATTTGCCACTAACAACAATGGTAACATGGCCAAGATTCTTGCAGGTCGAAGGTAATATATAGAATCTCTCTAATCCTCCTTTTGTTTGTTTAGTACATTAGTGAATGAACTTAATTCTAAAAGTTAAACTAAAGAAAATGAATAAATGATTATCCACAACTAGTATTGGAAATTCTAGGCATAATTATGATTGTTCTCTTATGGAATGTGGCAATTATGTCGCATATTTGCTCTTGAACTATATTCCAAATAGGTGGGAGAGATGTATGCTTTTAGTTGGACTTAGGGAAGCATGTTATATTTTACTCTATACTTATTCACTGGTAATCTTGTAGAAAGTAAAGGGATAATATATACATTTAGGATCATCTGGAACATGAACTTCAACGTTGTTGGAAGATTCAGAGTATAGGATATGTATTAGATTGGGTTAAAGATTGATCTAGGGTAAAATGATGCAATGTCGACAAATAAGGTAAGATCTATATACTATTTCTTCACCACCTCTTCTGTTGATTACTCTACTTGGTACTAAAATTGCATTTTGTGTTGTTTGGAGTTAACAAAGTCCGGCTAACTATAGTGACAATGTTGGGAAGTTTCAAGATAAATAGAGGTTGTATAATATATTTAGCATATCCAACTATGTTCTTCGCCAAGGACCATTCTCCTAGCATGCTTTAGACCTTTGGCACCTTCATTTAACTGAAAATAGCAAAACTTGTTGAGAAGCTAAGAGCGTGTTTGGAAAACCATTTTTTTTAACGAAAAAAAAACACACTTTCCAAAGCACCAAAATACAAAGCAACTATTTTTATCTTTTCCGTTCAACGTACGTTTGTCAAATTTTAATAATAAAACAAACACACACTAAATCTGATATGCTGATGTTAGAAATTAGAATTAACATTGATGTCAAAGTTTGTGAAGTTGTATTATACAAAAAAACAACTACTAGGCTTTTTATTCAGGCATTTAAGCAAGACTTGATTAACGTACTAATCTTCTGTCAATGTTTGTTTTTCCCAAGGATCAATACTTGGGAGATTTCACGTCCTCATTTACAAATAATTAGGCAGTCATGTAGTTGATTGATTTCACTTCAGTTATCTTTTCCTAAAGCAAAAGTGGTCCCATGAAAAGTATAACTTGTTTCAGTAGGTTTACTGTAAAGCCTGTCTTTGCCTCGGCTATTTTTTACAAACACAAAATTCAAAACTTGATGCGGTAGTAAATTCCATGCACATGTGCTACTGCTTGTAATGCTTGCTTTTACAGACTACCGCTCTATCTTTCTATTATTTTATTTTTGTCTAACGTGCCTCCTAGAGTAACCTTTGATTTTGTTTACAATAGGAGATACATGGGTCACAAAAGAACAATTAGACCAAATGCAAAGAAGCTTAGCACGCTATTTTCAGCAAGGCATCAGATGGACTGGGACACCTTTGCCAAAAAGGTTAAGGCATGCCAGAGAGGATTCATGGGAGAGCCAGATGAGATGAGACCTGGGCGAGGTGAATTTCATGAATTTCCCAGCTCTTGCGTGTGCAAGAGACCATATGCGGATGAACTAAGCAAAGAGGTATACCGTCCCCCAAAACTCGTTGCAATAAACCTCACAAAAGCTGATTCCTTGTCGAATGGAATTAGAAGAGGCAGCACATGAAGAAATTACTTTGAACCACCTAGGTTATCGGTGAGGGAAAAAAAATCGAAAGAGTTGTCACTTGCGCTGTTGATGCCAACTGAACGTCAATTGAAAATTGAATGCTATGGCAATGCGTCCATTGTCACATGATTGATCTTTGTAAATCATCAGGGGATCCAGTTCTAAGGTGGGTGGCTCAGTTTAGGTCCTAAGGATGTCAATCCGATGCAAAATGTAGATATATACATGCTTAGCTTAGATTGCTTTTAATCTATTTTCGCCACATTGTCTCCGTACAAAATTGAGTTGCGCTTTTTCTCTCATTCTGTCAGCCTAATCCATTCTAGTCAAATAGTAGATTCAGATATACATAAAACCATCCATTGGTCAGGTGCAACTTCAAACGAGTTTTACTCCTCAAAAAACCATAAAAAGCTCAAGCCATTAAATCAGAACTTTTTGCTAGAGACCATTAAATTGTAATTTGAATGGTCAGAATTAAAAGATAAGTGTACATAATTTGTTATTTTATACACTAATTTCTAAATTATTTTCACTAAAATACCCTACCGTACAATGATTATAAAACCAATTACTTTATCATGTTTTGTAGTGTATTTAAAAAAATCTTAATTTTAATTACCCATTTAAATTTTAGAGTTAAAACTCAATCTTTTTGCTCTCGTCTCAACTTCATTGACAAATGAATGTATGTATTAATGGTCAATTATATAAATTTTAATATATCGATGTCTATAAAAGAAACTTTCAATTTATAATTAACAAGTTATTAAAAAAGTGCGAACTAGAGCGGTTAGCAGAGGTACTACTAGTCGACAGCCATTGGTGTGTAGAGCATGACGTTATCATTTGATCAACAAACAAGGTAGATAACATGGATAATTTCCACATATAGCACAAGACTGGGATCAAATCACATTTTAAAGAAAAAAATATACTAAAATCAATATGACCGACCGTCTACTGAGCTACAGTCTGCCTACAACATAGGAAGCAAGAATTTTCATTCCTAGGTTCCCTCTATTATAAATATACACATCTATGCTAGCTAGGTATGTCCCTCTCATCTAATAACAGGCCGGTCTTTTAACTGTACCGCATCACTGCAATGGAAGCTCCTTCCATTTTTAACCTGTTATAACACGGTTGAAATGAAATAATAACTCTATCCACAAAAAAAATAAAAAAATTTCTGATAAAATAAAATAAAAACCAATTGACCCCAAATATAAATTCTACAGATACTCACCCTTGGTATTACGATTATGCGAAACCGAAGGAATCTTTGAAATGATCAAAGAGCTCTGCAATCCTTCTAATAGCTGCCACCGATCCAAGCCACCACACCAGATCAGATTCAAAACAAAAGATATATACAAAATACAATCTTCAAATAGTAAAAATGGCTTCATACTTAGCGGTGATGAAGAAAATATTTCATTAGACTCAACCGAGAGAAACTTACTCTGGACGTTGGCTGGATCCTGCGATTGGATCTCCGGGGCTCAACGACATCAGATGCTGATTTCATGGGATTATCATTTGAAGCCTTTTCCATCTCACCTTTACCCAATTTATCACGGGCAGGCGCAAGTTTTCCTTTACTTGCTCTTGTTGTGGTTGCCCGTTTAGTGGGATGATGAGCATCCACTGCAGTTGCCAGCGACGAAAACAAGATTGGCCCTTCTGTTGTTCCTTCAGTTGCAGACTGGGGTGCTCTCTCCACCTTACTTTCATTCTGGGAAGCATCCTTAATCCTTTCTGTATGACCTGTCAACGCATTGGTAAGAGAAAACGCATTTAATAAAGAAATGTCTTTTGGTGGGATTACTCTACTCAAAACACATACTATTTTTCCAGACTTACTAGTCTTAGGCTTGGAGCTAGCTCCATGTTTCTCCTTGGCATCATTTTTAGAACTATTTTTCCATCCTCTGGGTCCTGAACTTTGAGGCATCAAGAAATTTGCGAGTTTAACTGAATCATTTCTATCTATCTTACTGCTTTCATTAACTTCCATAAATTTCCTTTTCTTCCCAGGTTTAGGAACGCCAAAAATTACTTTTGATCCTTGTTTTTTGAGACCCGTCCTCACCATTCTGTGTGCTCCCAGTTTATTTTCATTCTTGCTGCTCTTACCAATGTTAAACACTTTATCGTTTTCAGTCAAATTAAGTGATTTCATCTCATCAGATTTTGCTGATGACTCCACAGCATCAATACTTTTTGACATCCTGTCTTTCCCTTTTACCTCTACCGCATGACTACCGCGTTTAGGTCGCTTTTCGTGTGGTGTATCACCCTGTATGCAAAATGTAAAAGTTAGCGTAAACAACCATGAAATTGGAACAGTAAACGAACTTAAAAACGAAGTACCTCATGGGTAGAACTTTTATTTGCCCCCACTTTAGAAGATTCAATCCATTTCCCATCCTTCCATATAAGGGACGGACGGAGATGCCAAGCTCTAACAACCAACGTTTCTCCACTACCTGCATAGAAAACCAATATTATGCATTTTCCAATAAGGTGCTAATGTTTTTTATACCTTGGTAAGGATTAAGAAACAACATAAAATACAAAATGTTTATTCAAATTATGCACATACCAGGAAAGTGGATGGTAAATGTAGTTTCATCTTCCTTATTCTTCTCTGTGACTACTCCTTCCCGCCAGCTGATGACAAAAAAGTACCATGTGAGAGAACTTTAAACACGTTATTATCTCAATTATTATTACAAATAATATTTTTAAGTTAGAGTCTCTTTGGTTCAAAGGAGGGGAGAGGAGAAGTTATAAATTTTTTGGCTGAGAGGAGGGGGGAGTTATCTCTTTTCTTGCTTGGTTCACAAGGAGATAAGAGAGATTTTAAAAGTCAATTTACCTTTGTATTATTATAATTTAAAAAACATAAGGATTTTTTAACATTATATAGGAGAGCTAAAATTAGATGAGAAGGGTTTTTGTTCCCCTTCATCCTCCTAAAAATTGAACAAAATAAGAAAAGTTTATAAAAATCCCTCTCCTCCTGTCCCTTCCATTCCCCTCCAACCAAACACTGTTAAAATTAATGCAATAGTTGCTAATTCACTTTTTACTACGATATTTAATTGAACCATGAAAGAATGGGAAATGATGTAATTAAATTAAAGAACAGGAGGAAGTGCAAAATGATCCTGATTTTGCAAGACAAACAAACCAACAAACACCCATGTCTACAATGAAGAAAATCAACAATAAATAAACATATCATATTGTATAATCCATACACAACAACTCAAGGGAATTGAAGAACTGGCTATCAATAGATAGCTAATTAAGAAAACTCAATAGATTAGCAAACCAGACCTTTCTTGTATCCATGCATCAACTTTATCCCCAACAGACCATGCAAAATCTCCCATAGCAGCTCTAGGTCTCTTTCTTTTTCCTTCATTTTGTATAGTAGTCATAGGCCGAGCAGTACGTATTCTGGGGTGTTTGTCTCCTTCACATTCAAGTGAAACCCATTCCTTCAAGGGCCCTGCACCAAAAGGAGAACAATATTTTTTATCATAATCAATGAATAAACACTAATACACAATTGAACAAGAACTCAAAGAAAGATGGCCAGCAAGTCATTATCATCCATACAGATATATACAGGCCATGCGAGAAAACATGACCATCTAATAAACACTATTTTTTATGATTTATCCAAAAATCATTTCAAGCTCAAAATATGAATTAACTTATGAACTTGTGACAAATTTGGAAAATAAATAAATAAATAAAAATTTATATGATTTGGCCTAGTGTAGCATTTGCATTCTGATGTTCCCCTTTCAGAAGAATCTTCATAACTTTACAATCAAATGAACTCAAGTCCATTGACATTTCCATTAATAGCCAAATATTGGAGATACAGTCATGCCATTTTTCTTTCTGGCCAACTAATTAATAAGATACTTCTATTCTCATCAAATACAATAAAGACGCTTGACCAACCTTCAGCAGCTACAAGTGAAGTGTAACATACATAAGCTTTATCATCCTTCACACTCAAAATATTGGCAGTGAACCACGCAGCTTTAAACCCTTCCTCGTCTTTAAAAACCTGATTCATATAATAGCTTCAGTTTACCAGGAAATATATAATTTAATAGCAACATATTACTATTCAAAAATTTAAAAATGAAAAGGATGCATGTCAGTTTAATTAAAAACTAGTACCTAATCCTCACCAAAGTTGACATCAGAAAAAATAACCCATGGTCATCAATCTAGCCACTTTCAACAGTTAAAGTTAAAATGAAAATAAATAAATAAATAAAAACAACCTCTACGAGTAAGCCCTCTTTGATGTTACTTTTCTCCAGATTTTCAGATCCATTACTAACAACGAAAGGAGCCTGAATTTCAGTCTCAGATTCAGGAACCACATCAACAGGCTTAACTACAGCAGAAACTTTGCGTCCCTTTGATCCTCTTGAATTCTTTTCATTGATCTTAATAGAAGCAGGAAAGCCACCAGGCAAAATGTCTCTGTTTTGTGTATAAGAAGGAATGCCACCAGGCAAAATGTCTCTGTTATGTGTATAAGAAGTTTCAGGAATATCTCTCACACTGTCAATGTTCACCGCATCTCTGGTAATGTCTTTGAATAATCCAATTTGCTGAGAAGACTCCCGGGTTGCTTTCAAACATCCCTCTGGGCCAGCTTCTACCAAATGACTTAATGGCAGAGGATCACCCATGGTTACAATCTTTCCTGCTTGAGATACAGCCTCTGCAGCCAGCTCAGCAGCCCTAACAATAGCATCCATATTTTCAGCTCTTTTGGTGGCAGCTGAAGCAGCTTCCACTCTCCTTTTAACAACTTCCTTGGCAGCAACAATGATAGAGCCAGGACTATTGGTTCCATTAGCACCTTTCAAGATGGAAGCAGGGGTAGCTTTTCCCAAGTTATTGGTACCCTCAGGAAGAGAAATTTGATTACTTTGGCTGGAATTATCATAACCAGATGACAGTAATGCCTCATCGGCCATTAGTTTTGCTTGAAGAGCAGCATTTGATGCAACATTGGCAGCTGCAGCTGCTGCTTTTGCAATGGCTGCAGCTGCTGCAGCTGCAACTGCTGCAGAAGCTAATTTAGCCTCAATATCTGGCATCAATCCAGAATTTTTATGCTTATCCAACTGATTCCATAACTCTAGGCTATGATTCACCGCAGCAGCAGAGAGAGCAGACGCTTCCTCTGCATGTACCCTAGCCTCCTTAACTTTCATAAGAGACTCGTCTGACATAATCCTCTTCTCAACATTCCGGTCAGTTTTGGATTGATCAACGAGAGGAGATACAGACATAACTGATTTTTCAACAGTAGTTATTGCCACATTCCCAACAGGGGCCACAACGGCAACAGAAGTAGGCACAGGAGACAGTGATTGCAAAGCCCTCTGGCCAAGATCCTCAGATACCACAACCTTTTTTCTTTTTTTGGGCTTTGGATCTGAAGAATTTTGAGAAGGTACTGTCACATTGTTTGCATCAAGCAGAGAGGCAGTTCCCCCAAAGATACTTTGCAAACCTGCACTGGAAGTAGGGAGACCGGAAGTGACATTCTTTACACCAGAGGAAGGAGGCAGAGATCCTTTGATTGAACTTAACTTAATTGCATCTGAGGCAGGTGATGCAGATATATGGTTGCTATTGTCAGGTGCAGGAGTTGGAGAAGCAATCCATGGTCCTCGAATTTGAGATATCCAAGGAGTGTTATGTCCAAGAAAGTTCCTCCCAGGAGTAGTTTGATAAGGATGCAATGGAGTAATTGCCTGTGGATAATCCACAACAGAGCCTCTTGCAAGGGCACTAGGTTGCAGGGAATCACTACCTAGACCTAGAGTTGATAGGCTCCAAAGTGGGGATGAAAGAGGTATTAATGGATTAACATTTGGAGTAGCCTTGCTGCTGGTTCGACCAAGAGGAGAAGAGATACCTTTCCCTTGAACAGTACTTTGCTTAAGTGGCAAATCAGAGGTTCTAGCAACTGCAAATCTCAATTATCAGGAGTTAACCAAACAAGTCAAATAACAAAATCACAGAAAAAGTTATATCTTAAGAGATACCAGATCGTGATTGCAGAGGTGTTTCTGGGTTAGCAGGATGAGATTTTTGACCATGTTGCCTTTCCATGCAGGCCCGCCAAGCATTCTCCCAAATGCTCCTTCCACCATCTAAAAACACAATTTCTAGGGCTTCAATATTTTATTATGCACAAATAACAGAAAAGAACATGCAAGAGAATAATGATAAACAAAAAATTAACCTGATCCTCCAAAAGCTGATATCATATATGCCTCATCCGGTACTGTGCCTTGACTGCAGCAACATCAAAAGACAAAATAATTGGCAGAGTTGATTACCATGCCACAAAATCTAGAGCATTAATAACTATATCATGCAGAAAGCAGATATAAATGGATCGGGTGAGCTTGGCCTCAAATAGTTTTGATTGAACAAGTATGGAGTAAGTCTAAATTCTATACACCAATTAAAACAGAAAGGCAAAGTATACAATGAGCCAAGATTTTCCAATTTTCAATTAACTACAGGGAGTGTGAGTGTTATGTCAGGCATCTTGTAGGGAATAAGTCAAAAAATGCATGATTGAGGATTCATAAGCACATGCACACATCACATTTGTGTAGAATCCATAATAATTTTAAAAAAAATTAAACATTTGAACTCACATCAAAGCTCCATAGACAAATATCTGTGCACGCAATTGTACTTGCTGCAGATCTGTGAAAGGCTGATGAAACAAAACAGGTGGAGAAGCAGAAGTGTTCAAATCTGGAAGGCTAGATGTTGAAGTATTTACAAAAGTAAATGACTTTGTACTATTTGAGTCAATGTTCCCATACTGCTGCACCTCATTTGACTGCATCATCTGGAAACCAGGAGATGGGCTCAGCGAAACTTTGGCTGATTTATCACCTCTATTAGATTGTCTAGCCAGAGTAGTGTCTTTTGCATGACTTCCTCTTCTAGAAGATTCCTTTCCAGCTGACTTATTAGATGTTCGCCTAGTTTTGCGCTCAGGCGTAGCTTTAGAAGCACTTTGTGATACCTCCACATCTGATATTTGTGGCTTTCCACGGGAGATATTTCCTACAGTTTTGGTTTTTGAAGGACCTGGTCCAGAAGTTGAAGGAGATCCTTCCACAGCCTTCAATGATGAAGTGGAAGGAGAAAAAAAATGAAGTCTATAAGATCATTTGTCATTCATAATGTAAACAACAGAATATATCACCCATGCACTTCACATAATGAACCCCTGAGAAGCCACTTTGCACATTCAGAAGACACTCAACAGGAAATATAGGTATTAAAAGTAATAACATACAAATACCAATTCCTTAGCTTGGATTATATACTGCAACAAGACTTACTGGTTTGAGGGTTTCAGTAACAGGAATTGATTTCATCTTGCCAACATCTTCGGTATTCTCATCTATAGCATCCTTTTTGGTTAAATCAATCACTGAATTTACTTCAGGAGTTGACCTTCTTTCTTCTTTAGATGCATTACTGTCCTTTATATCTTGAGCAGTAGAGAATACATTTTCTGCACCACCATTAATGAACTCAGAAACTGGCTTGTTCTGAGTAACTTGTGTTTTGTCCTTCGCAGTTTGGGAAGGGCTTCCAAATGTACTAGAGGGATTACAAGCACTGTTAGCAGGAAAGCTTCCAACTCCAGTCTCACGCAACTCAATGCAAGAGTCCGGTACAGAAGCAGAAGATACAGAAACTTGGTTTCCAAGTAAAATGTCACCTACAAAGTCCATATTATAATATGTATGGAAACATTTGAAGCAACTTCAAACATGCAATACAGATCACCCAGGAAAAAACAACCTCTAAGCATTAGACAATATAAACAAAACTATCATCACGTCATGGTTATTTATCGCCATTGATAAGGGTAGCAATGTGGCATGTTAATTAAAAGGAAACTATGAATAACATAAGGCTATGGATTAAAAATATATGGTCATCAGAATGGTTGGGGGTTGAGCTGCCAAGACCGACACAAATACTATGCACAAGAAACACAGAAGACTCATTTCTTGGTTTCAACATACTTTTTTCCACCATCTGATTTTTTTATGGATGAGTCTGCTCTCATTTTCCTTGTGAAAGGATGTGTAGTCAAGGGGGGAATCTACTTTCAAGAAAAATTTCAGTTTTATCACCTTTCTACCTGTACACAACTCCAATTCCTCTGTTCTTTTCTGTAGAGAGCTCCTTCCATGCGAATTTGACTTCTTTCCTCTAGGAAATTTTATTTTCCCCAGAATACCCTTTATGTTTTGGGCAGTAGAATATGGTGTTTGGGATTTATGGAGTACCTGCCCTACCCTCAATTTAGATATCTATTTTTCTATCCATTCATCTGAGTTTTAGGAGAGGAAGTAGTGAACAACGTTGTAGTGTTTTTAGTTAATAAACATTTATGTCCTGATAATTTACATAATAGGCTTGTTTTTACATAATGTTGTATTGTTTTTAGTTCATAAACATTCCTCTCTGGGTTTCAGTTTATGGTAGGAGCTTTTTTTATCATGTAATCAAAGGAATTGGATAATTCTATTAATACCATGATAATCCTCTGTCATTTTTATTACCTTCTTACCTGCTATGTTTATCTTCTTTTTAAGAGGACTCCTTTACTCACCAGATATACAGTTTTATCTTAATAGATTCTTGGATAATAGCATCATAATGCAAAGGGATTTTCTACTGTGCATCATGATGGTCTTAGGCATAAGGAAAACAATTGAAATTTCAATAACAAGAGAATTACCTTCAGAAGAATTGAGAGAAAAAAATTGCATTGCTCATATAACTAGTAATTTGTACGTTGCAACCAGCTCATATAGTCCACAATCATATTCTAAATTGCATTATATTTAAAATTTCAGTCATAAGTTTTCTTCGCTGATGCAATTGATTGTACATAATATGAGTACAAGTTTATTAGACAGAATTAGCTCGATAGCTGAGAAACTGGATCATGTAAAGCCACAATATCATCGTTACAGAAAAGGAAAACATCCCTTCACGAGAGAACACCAAGATAATGCCTTTTAGTTGAAAATTTACTAAGATAACCCAATTGCACTAAAGGAAGGACTGAACACAAACAGCAATTCTCACTTCACATAGCAATAAGAAATTTTGATAAATCATGAGATGCTCTTTAACATAACAAGTAATGAACAAAAACATGCATCATAGTCTTCCTAAAAGTTGTGTGGCATAATCAGATAGACAGTAAATTGACAATAAGTACATCCACAAAAAACCGATAATAAAATCATTCAATTTTAAACAAAACTTGAATGGTTAGTTCCATCTAGAAGTGATATGTTAATTTGACATAATAAAATACAGAATTTAAGGGATATTTATAAATGGACAAGACTGGATTAAAGATTACCTGATTTTTCTGACAAAGACTTGTCAGGATTCTCCTGCACGGTCTCCTTGTCATCCTTAATTACAGAAACTGTCACACCATCACTCTGTTCCTCTGATAATGCACATGGAACTTGAGGCATACTAGTCTCTTTTGCACATTCCTGAATAACTTCATTTGTTGTTCCTTGAGGTTCACCAATCTTTACAGCACCACTAGAAGTATTAGAAGAATAATGTTTTTCAGTTGCTGTGACATGACAAGGAGCAATTTCCTGTTCAGAAGATCCAAGTGTAGATGTGCCTGCTTCCTCAGCTTCTTTTACTGTAGAAGCTTCCTTTTCCTTGGCAGAAGAAGATCCAACAGGAGTTATCCCTTGAAAATCATTGTGACTTGTAACTTCATGGGTGGAAACAACTTTGCTAGAAGGTGAAATGTCTATTATTTCATGTGATATCAAACTAATATTTTCTGAAACAACTTGTGGAACTGAAAATTAAGATGAAAATAAACCTTTAAGTTAGAGGGCTAACCAAGATCAGTGCACAACCCTATTCTATATCAGCAAACAAGAAAGTGACATATTAATGTGGTACCTAAAGGCTTGTTTGGTTTTTAGAAAATTATTCTTACTTCCATTTTCTGTTTTCACTAATAAATATAAAAAAAATAAAAAAAATATTAAACAAATCTCACCTTGTTTCCTGTTTTAAATTACGTACAAGAAATGGTGGAAACACCAAAATTGGAAGCAATATGAAAACAATGACAATTTTTGTAATTCGTGAAAAGAGGAAATAGCATTTTCTCAAACCAAACAGGCCTAAGAATTTTCGATGGTGGTGCAAATTTAAACAATTCTCAAAATAGGTGGCATTATATATGATTCACCAACAGTGTACAACTATTTAGCCTGTCAGTGTATCAAGATTAAATCTTTATAATGTACCTAAATTATTGGCAGGTATGACATGGATTGATACTGTGGAAGTTGTTAATTCAGTTTCCATACTACCTTCACTAAGAGATGATGAAACAACTGCCTTATCAACAAGATGGGATTGATCAACATCACAGTGCATCTGGCTAGAATCAGAGGGAATCCTTTTACTCTCTTGATCATTGACAGAGACAACTTGACTGCATTTTTCATGGTCATTCTCTCTGTCAGATTCATTGTTTACACATATTTGTGTAAACTCACCCAAAATGGGAGATTTTGTTGAAAAACCTCCTACCCTATTGTCACTATTTCCTTCACTAGTAGTGGAAATGTTATTTTCCTTGGCAGTAAACATAGATGCCTCTGATTTTCTAGACAAAATCACTGTATCCACATGATCACCAGAGTTCAATAGCTCATCCTGTTCATTGACAGAGACAACTTGATCACATTTTCCATTGTCATTCTGCCTGTCAGGTTCATTGTTTATACATATTTGAGTAGACTCTTCCAAAATGGAAGATTTTGCTGAAAAAGCCGTCACAGTGCTACTTGACAAAACTCCTATATTATTGTCACTATTTTGTTGGCTAATAGTGGAAATGTTATTTTCCTCTGCAGTAAACATAGATGCCTCAGATTTGCTTGACAGAATCACTGTGTCCACATGATCACCAGTGTTCAATAGCTCATCTTCCTTAGTAACAGTAACACTGCTCCCACTGTAAGCTGTTTTCTCCATGGCATCCACATTCTGCTGCAGATTAGGACAAATCTCACAATTAGAATTACTAACCTCAACCACTTGCCCCTCAGAGATAGAATCATCTCTAATTGATTTTTTTGGCAATTCATGTGTATTTGGGTCAGCCTGATCGTCCATTACCACATCTTTAATCAACGTTACATATTCACTAGCACTGTTCCGAGACAGAACACTGAAACAAATATCTTCACTGTTTTTTTCAGCTTTCTGCATGTCAGAAACATCTGTTGATTCCATCCTCAAGGCACCCTCTAAATTACTTAACCCGGTCTCAAGACCTTCAACTACACCCCTACCTTCCAAAGTTTCTGCTCTGGGGATTGAACAAAGGGATTTATCCAGATGATGTGCATCACCTCCAACTGCATCTCCATCCAGAGTCTGTGTGTTTACGGCAGCTTCTTTATTCATCACAGGAGATTCCAAATCTTGATTATTAGTGTGCACTTGTAAAGGACCTTGCTTCTCATCACCCATATTTTGCATAGCTGATTCAGCATTATTGGTTTGCACTGCAGATGAATCATCTCGTGTTTTGCCATGATGTGAGTCATCAGCAACAGTCTCAACTTCTCTTTGGTTTGTATTGTTATTTTTGTCATCAGTATATAGAGTCAGACTCCTGTCAGACACAGGCAAGTCTATATTTCTGTAGACATCACTTAGTTCAGGATTACTTGAACTTCCATCAATGGATAATTCATCTTCATGACCTTGGAACACTCCATCCTGAGACTTCTCCATTCCTACATCCTCTTTCAATCCAGAAAAACTTGCACGGGTACCACCAGGTGGACGGGAATCTGTAACAGTATCTTTAAATTCATTTTTATCATCAAGTTTTGGATTGGTATCCATTTGCTTAGCTAAGCAGGCCAGTTCATCACAGGCATCTGATTCCTGAATAACTGTTTGTCTAGGAATATAGTCCTCCTGTCCAACAGATTTTAAAAGCATTTCAACAGATTCCGAGGAAGTGGCCTCAGACCAAACATTGACATGCCTTGATATAGAGCAAGACTCAGCTGCAGTTGAACTGAACTCTATGCCACTACCCCCTCGGGAGAATGCGTCAATCCACTGGTTATCTTCGTTACTTTCAATGCCAAGGAAAACTTCCGTTTCTACTAAACTATCAAATCTTAAATTCGCTTGAAGGCTTTCATCAAAATCAAACTTGGGGAGAGCATATGGCCTTAAGACTGGAGGAAATTTGGTGTTCCCTTCACCAACTAAATGGAGATTCTGGTTTTGAAAATCATTGTCATCATAATCCATGGGTGAATCCCTAAAACAGTAAGCACATTAGAATAAAAGAAACAACAATAATAGTGGGCTTAGCCTAAATATATGCATGCATAGAGAGAAATACAAAAGAAGATGGAGGTGCATACAAGATCCCCCACATGCGCATAAGACATATGCATCCATCATCCAAGCATCAGCAAGTACATGATACAAAGACAAATGGAAGCCCAAATTCATAGAAATTCAAAAATTAATTTAAAAAAAAATGTTGGCTTGTTGTAACAAATTACTGCCCATATATAAAGAAGGTAAACATAGAAGCTCAATTTAATAGTGCAAGAAAACAACATATATTGAAACATTTAACTATTATTACCCCATAATTCAAGATTTTAAGGCCACTACCTAGTTTAGCTGAATAAAAAGAACAAATATCATGGCACAAATAATATAGGTTCCGCCATGGAAATTTATCTATCTAATCAACAAATGGTTCACTGTGAAGGATAATGAGAAGAGAAGAATCCCTGGGGTTTTTAGGCTGCCTGTTGATATGCAAGGTTGATTTTTATATTTTAGAATAACACGTGGGAGAAAACAGAACATAAGATAAACCTAAATATTCGGAAGAATCCAAGTTATTTTGATTCCATATACTATTCAGACAGGTTAATCTTCACTGTAATACAGGAAAAGCTTCTTAGGCACACTGCCATAATAGCGTTCAGCAGCCTCCTTATTAGTCTTGTTAAAAAATGACAGAATTAAAAATGAATACATAAGCAATTCCTTTAAATAATCGAGAAATACAAATTCAATAGTTCTGACTCAACTGAGAGGGAAAAAAAAAATAACAGTTTACGGTTTCCACACAGAGATTAACAACCTTCTGAATTTAAAAGAGTAGTTGAACAGATATTCTGTGCCTGAATTGGCCAGTCAGAGTAGTTACGCAGAAAGTAAACATTTTTCAACCAAAACTCACCATTTAAAACGAAAGGAAGCAAAACTCTTAACCAAATCATAGCAAGGAAAAGATTAAGAACCCAAAGTTGGACATGAACAGTACCAGAATAAGTAAGTCTAGAGACGCTACCTCCCTCCATCCGGCGAGGAAATCCAACCCGTTTGATCTCACCTATTCCTCAATCGTACAGTCATTTATTCCCTCCAACACAAAAAAAGGTCACCGTCAGCGTAATTTGAGCGCAGAAAAAACCAAATAAATAGAACGAAGACAAAGACAATTGAACCTCACCAGTAGATTCGAGTTCCTACGGATCGAATTAGGGTTCCAGTGACGGTGAGAGTAACGAGGAAGAAAAACGCGAAGAAGTGCGAAACTGAAAGACTGAGAGTGGATTTGTTTCGTTGTTCGTTGGGTTGTGGCTGTGAGTGAGTGGGGAATTTTGTTTTTTTCCTAAGGAAGAGAAAATGAGTGTCAGCGACGGGAATCAAAATTGAAAAAAGTGGGTTTGTTCGTAAATAGTCGAGATCCAACGGGCAAAGAGGGTGAAAGGTTACACGTGGACGGTTCTGATTCGCTCACGGAAAGTATCTGCTTTCTAGGGTTAAGCAGGGAACCGGTATCTGTGCGAAACAGTGTCACGTGTGCACGGCTGATTGGTTGTTTGGGTGAAAAGGTGTCTCGTCAAATTCAGATTGCTCTCATCCAACGCTTCCGAAAGGTTTAGATAAATGAATCGCAAATCGGGACCGCTCACATTGGTTTTATCACTTTTCTCTGTCATTAGAGGTGAATAAAAATAATGCTGAAACTGAAACTGAAACATATTTTTATTATTTTAATTTGCAATGCACTTGATTTTACACTCCGTAAAGAAAAAAAATAGATTAAAAAGAAATAAATGATATAAAATATAATTTTCAATTATTTGGCTTAGACGGAATAGAAGTAAGAGATAAAATAAATAATGTTGTAAAGTTGTTTTTGGTGAAATTGAATGCGAGAAAATAAATTAAGGGAATAAGCATATTTTATTTTTATTTTTATTTTTTTAAATCATAATTCAGTGGACAATGACATGTTTTAAAGTGTTTGAGGAACATTAAAACAATTCAATAAATTATTGATAAATTTTAAGCTATTAAAATGACAATATCTAAAAAGAATCAATCAATTAAAATGACAAATCATGAATTATGTATAAAAGAATCAATTACTAAGTACTTTAAATGAATTAAAATAAAAAATAATGGATCATGAATACACTGTCATATGTTTTAATTGATTAGTTAAATTTTTCAATTAATTGAAATGATTAAATACTAAGTATGAATAGACAATCTTAAAATTTAAACAATTTATTGTTAAATTTTATTGATTAAAATCATAATTTTAATCCGTTATATGCACACTAATCTAAAAAAAACATGCATATAAGATTAAATTAAAATCAAACTATTTAACCATAAATCACAATTACGCAGTTATAATATTAATTAATTGTCTATTATAACAAACATTTTAATATGTTGAAATGTTACCAAGTGTGTCATAAACAACACCTTTCAACATAGCTAGAGGTTTTAAAACAAAAACGGTAATAACATCATATTATAAGCACACATCTACAACGAAATAATATGAATCTGACACAAATATGTACATGCAAGCATTTTTCACATTCTTAAGAGCACTAACCATAAATTAACAAATAAATATAACAGGAACTTCTTATCAATAATGGAATAGGTTGTGTGGAAGGAAGAAGATAATTCAACAATTCTCATTAGGTTCTGCAAGTTTCAATAGAAAGCACAAGTGGAAAGAAATCACTATTAACCCTTTTCAAGTGATACCAACTATATTTTACATTCTTTACTCTTTGATCACTTCTATTGAATGGATGTGATTTTGAAAATAATTGGTATTTCATTCATCCGTTTTATCACGTTCTCAAAAGCTTCAAAACAAAATGTTACTTTCTTAACTTTTATTTAAATTAAGATAATAGATTAATATGATTTTCATTATTTGAATATTCAAATTAATGATATAATTGTATATTTTGAGTTATGACTCAATTTAATTGATAACACATATGTATATTTAAATTTAATTTTGTAGTAAATTTAAATAAAAATTCCTAATATTTTAGTTAATTTATTTTATAACACAGATATATAATTAGTAATAATAACTCAAATAATACTATTTTTAGTTGCATATATAAAAATTTATGAGAGTATTATTATTTTAGTCTTAATTATATTAAACATAAATTTTAACTAATAATTATCTTTTATACCTTAATTTAGTAAAAGAATTAATAAAATGCTCGTTCATTTTATGTAAAAGTATAACTAAATCATTAATTGATTTATGATATATAATGTCATTAAAAATAATGAACACTTATACTATTTTATTCTATGAATAGTTTGAAATAAAATTTTAAGTTATAATATTATTTACTAAAATTATTCAATTTAACTACTTTTTTAATTATGATGAATTCAATATTTATTTTATATATTATCTATACTTGTATATGAAAAAGTTATGTTTTTATATATATTTTATTTACAACAGTTTTAATCTTTTTAATAAAAATAAGAAACTATATATTGAATAAATATTATAAAAAAAACTTTAATGTATAAATTATTTTATTAACACAAGTAGGTAAGATGATTATCAGCTAAATATCATTGATTCTCCATCCAAATACGTGTATTGTTTTTGTAATTTTATTGAGTAATTGTTATTTGATATTTTTTATTGATAATAATTGATTTTTTAACATTTGGATGTGTGAATCGGTTGATATAATATTTTTTATTTAATCTAAATGACATATTAATGGTGTAACAAATTCTAACATTACCTAATTTTAAAAATTATGGACCAAATTGTAATTAAAGATGAGAAACGACTAGACTTTAAATAGTGACCTATTTAATAAAAAGGCTAAATTTAAATTTTTAAAAAAATTATTTATATAAAAAGTAAAGTTTAGACTTATAAAAAAATTTGTTAAGTCTGATAAGCTAGTCTATTTATTTATATAATATGATAAAAAAAATTATTATATATTATTAAAAATATAAATAAACAAATAAATTTATAAATAAAAATAAATTATCAATATTTAAAATATTTTTTATACAATTTTTTTATTACAGGTTTATAAGTTTACGATTTGTGCATGTATGTACATCAATATACATGATTATATTTTTGTTGAATTGTCCTTTCAACATAAAATATTCAATTTTTCTCATATATTTCTTTTAAAATTTAAATTTTAATAATATTAAATAAATTATATTTTAAAAATAATTTATTGATTTTAAAAATTAAATTTATTAATTTAATTAACATTAATAATTTAAATAGACTAGTAAGTTAGATCAAATTTAAAAAATGTCAGATCAAACTTATAAAAAAAATTTATAATAAATAATAGATTTGACTTAAATTTTAATTTTATAAAATAGTCTCAACTATATATTTAAAATCTGGTTTGATCCTGTCCTGTTCTAATTTCTATTTGTATTAAATATTTTTAAGGATCAAAATTGGGTCTTTGTGAAAGAGATTAAAAGTGAAATTAAGTGTTAAAAAATGTTTATTTTATTTAAAAAATATTTTCTTAAAAAACTTAAATAAACATGGCAATTTTCTCATCCTAAAAAAAAAATAGAAAAGTACTCACTCGGTGCTTTTTCTTCGCAAACAACCCAAAGAATCCACTCCCACACTTTCAGTTTGGCACTTACTCTTTTCTTCCTCTTTGCTCTCACCGGGAACCCTAAGTCGATCTGCCGGAACTCAAATCCACCGGTGAGGTTCAATTGCCTCTGTCTTCGTCTTCGTTCGGTTTATTTATTTATTTTTTTCTGCGCTCAAATTACCCTGACGGTGAGGCTTTTGTGTTAGAGAGAGTAAATTAACATACATCTAGAGGGCTTTATTGCATAATGAAGTTTGTTTCCTGATAGGGAACATAATCTTCGATCTACTTTGAGTAGCAATTGCATTTTCTCGTATAATTTTTTTGTGTGGATGTTTTTGATTGTTTACATGTTACCTAAACAAGGCTTAATCCATGTGTGTGAGTATATTGTGGTTTGTAGACTAGAACTAGACTGAGCCGTCGACAATTGATTTCTATTTTGCATATTAAGTTGCTGAGATTGTATTTAATTCAAGAGATCTACTGGAACAAATATGTATAAATTTTTAATATTGAGCATTGCCTTGATCAAATATCAGTAAGTGCAGACATTGAGTTTTCCCCAGTGGGCGTTCGTCGAGTATCTATAAGTCTGTTAGGATAGCTACTAGTGCTTTTGAGAGTTTTCTATTGGAAAAAGTTTTTATTTATTTATTTATTTATCTTTTATTTTCAGTAGAGAAGTTCTCAATGTTTTTAACTTGTATCTAAACAAATTCTATAGATAGTTTACTGTGTATCTGTTTCTGATTGTTCTACTTTTGTTCTAATATGAACACTGGAGAGTGAGAATATAGACATTCATGGCTATGTATTTAACTTCTTATTTTTCTTCAATTGAACTGATAATCATTATGGATTGAATGCTCACCATCACACACACAACTTCTCTCAGTTTTTCCTCCATTATTTTGCAATCCCCTCTCTTGCCAGGGAACCCAATATCTGACTTGGTTTGTCCTGAATCAAACCAAGTTGAGTCAATTTGGGTCAAAATCATAGATTAAGAGGAACCTGAGCCTCCCCTGCCTGAGGAGTTATACCACAATTGGTTCCTGGTTGATCCCAAATTCAATCTAAATGGACCTGTGTTCAACCCCAATTTGAAGTGAAGTGATTTTGGTAGCTCCAAATCTGAAGAGAATCCACATTCACATTTGCCCAAACCTTAGGCACGCACCACCATCACTGCTCCTTGCCAGTAATCTCTTGACGAGCCTCTAGTCCCTATCTGCTTTTCACACTCCATGAAATTCTTTGTCCTTCTCTCATTTTTGACTTTGATGAAATATTGTCCGTTGTGGCATTGCTGATTTTGAAACTGGAAATCTGGATGTTGCAAAATTGATTTGGGACCGGCCTTTGTTTTCCAAGCTCTATAATCTTATATAGTCAGAGATATGCATAAGTTGACAATGGTGGCTAATCATCATTATGATCCAAACAAGTGATGATGTTTGGAATGAATTATGGGGAATATTTACTCTTGCAATATGTTCTTATTTAGTTTCCAATGCCATTTTTGCCCTTAATTTTGTGGGATCCAATTCTGTGTACCTGTTCCTTGTGTACGTGGCATTTGCTCGCAAATTGTGAAGTACTGTGTTAATTTGATTAGCATGTGTCAGGGATTTGGTTTTTCTGTGAATATCAATCTATTCTTCATCCCTGTTGATCAAGAATGCAATTCTTTGGGGGGTCTGAGATAAGTCCTTCACCTCCTGCTCCAACAGCTTCAGGAAACAATGGCCATATGATGTATGTGTTCAACAGGAATGGTGTGTGCCTGCTCTATAGGGAGTGGAATCGCCCCTTGCGGACATTGGATGCTCAGCAAGACCATAAGTTAATGTTTGGTCTGCTTTTCTCTCTGAAGTCATTAACTGCCAAGATGGACCCCACCAGGTATGTCTGTCTCTTGGATTTTGAATAAATGCCAATTCATTTTCCAGCTAATTTATTCCCATATGTACTATTTAGTTTTACTTCCATGATTATGTTCTGAATACACGAAGTAACGTATCTCCTTAAAAGTAATTTGGAGATTGTTTATGCCCTTATTCTTTGATGAAAGGAATTTTAATGGAAATTTATGTTACAGAGTGTGTTGCAAAATTTGCCACATTGCCTAGCAAGTTATTTTGATATTTCTAGAGAAATAATCACTTATTTTTTAATAGTTCTCTTGGAAAGCTGGCAGAAATAAGCAATTATTTCTTCAAAATAAGCTAAACCAAACACACACAAAGTTTCTAGCTCCTGTTTTGATTCAATGAAGGACAGTTTTTGCAGTGTATACCTTGCTAACATGTGGATAAGTTGATGTTGTATGACTGTCCTTGACCTCATAATAAGCAAGCCTCATTCCCATAAATATCACTTTCAATTAATTTTATTACCAAGAATTTAATTGGAAATTTTGTTTGTTCTGATGCTTCAGTCATTCTATATCCTTATTTTATATTTTTCTCTTGTCCTTATCCTTATACCATATTTTATTACTTAAATATTTTATGCTTTGCATAGTTATAATTTGTAATTGATTATGTTAATGTGTTTACTGAGTTACTGTCACAATAGTGATAAATAAGTCATGGATTGTATGATGGAATTTTTGTGTAATTTTATAGGAATTTATATGTTGCATCTTTTACATTGCACTGGTAAGTTTAATTCATTATACTCTAAATTGTTGTGCAGTGCTGTTGAGAAAGGAAACCTTGGTATGCCTCAGTTACCTGGTCAAGGTTGTTCATTTCACAGTTTCCGCACTAATACATACAAACTTAGTTTCATGGAAAGTCCTTCTGGCATAAAGGTTAGCTACAATAATATTTGTGTTTCCCTTGTATGTTATTATTGTTAGAGAGCTGTATGGATGAAGTCACTGCTGATTCTGAAGTTAGTGTCGAAACGTTTTGCACCTTGGCTTTTGCTCATTTCTTCATTGATAATTATAGCTGTTTGGCACTTATTCTGTATTTGTCTGATATATAATCCCATTTTGGCCAGAAAAAATGTTAGGTATATTGACTGAATTATAATGCTATTCTCTCACTGTTCATTATGCATTTAGTCGAGGTTTTGATTTGGAATAGTTGCATTCATGCTTATATGACACTATTACCTATCTGTCTTGCTCCTGCATTAGTTTGTAGGCATAAATGGTATAGTGGATTTGAGTTTGGTGGATTTCACTAAATTTATCCTTTAGAAAGTTTTGTCTTAAAAGTTGTGCTTAGTAAGATGGACTACTTAACACTAGTAACACTGCTAGCTATTTTAGCAATTAAAGAGATATATTGCAGCACACAGTCATAAATATTATCTAATGAAATTAAAATGTCTGGAAAATAAATCAATGTAGCAATATTCAAATATAGGTGGCTGTTATGACGTTCCTATTGTGACCCTGTCCTTGCTTTATGCAGATCATCTTGGTGACTCATCCTAGAACTGGTGATCTACGGGAATCCTTAAAGTATATCTACAATTTGTATGTTGAATATGTTGTCAAGAATCCACTCTATACACCTGGATCTCCTATTAGGTAATGGAATTTATACTTCCCCATAAATGACATACTTTTCCTTTTACCTAAAGAAGAACGACATACTTGTCCTATAAATATGTGGTTTCATAGTGTCATCCATGGACATTCCCATCATTAACTGGCATTATTCTGTGTCTTCAATGCATATGGTGATTGCTTTAATCCCGAATTCCCGATTCATGAGGAGGCCCAATAGCAATGAAAATAGTTTTTTAAGTATATTAAATCCATAAATTTCACTAAGTCATAATCTTTTCCTAGTTCCTATTCCTATATTCTATATAGTGAAAACAAACTAATTATTGATAATTTATATTGATACAGTAAATCAGCATAGAACCTACCCCCCTACTCACCAGTAACTATTGCCTCCTAACTAGGCCAACTACTTGTGGACACACCCTTTTATGCTCTACTGCTATGCTCCATTGGTTGTCAGCTAGCCAGTGGACTAGTACGGCCATAATCCAGTTCATACCATTGGCTAGTGGGTAATGTGTTCATTCATGATATATATTCGGCTTGCAGTTTATTCACTTACACATTTTGCTATGATTTTATATGCTTGATTTCTTTGATTTTATCTTCTGCAACATCATATAACCTCAGAATGTGTAGTAGATCTATATTTGAAATTCTAAATTATGTCTAACTTGTTATTCATATTTTATAATAAATGTAGCTATTGTTTTTTATTTATCATCTGATCTATTTTTGTTTTTGGGTGAAAGTTCATATGCCAACTGTTTAAAATATGTCTATAAATGTGATTACTGGAACATCTTTTTACTTTAAATTTCTGTTTAGTTCAATTAAAGGATAAAATACTAAACTTTTAAAGCAAAACATATTCACACAGAAAAAAGTAAGTGCAGAAGAAATAGGAAACCAAAGTACCCTTAAACTTTATGGTTGATGGTGCAGAAACATACGCTAATATCATAATATATTTAGTGAAGAAAGCATCATTTTTGTGACATTATTTTTAACTCCCAGCACTGTTAATGTTGCCAAGACTCGGCTGGTTAACCATCTCGCCCAAGTGAGGATTTGTTTGACCTGTTTTATATTTGTGCATTGTTAGTCAATGAACAAATTTGGGGAAGACCTCTTTATGTTCGAATTTGTTTACTTATTTACAATCACATCCTGTCACCATCCTTGTGTCTCATCATGTTATTGATCTAAGTTAATTTGTTGCTAATATGATGGTTTCAGGATTATATCTTATGTTTTCATACATTTTCTGATGACAACAAAGTTTTTTTGATTATATAAACTTTTGATGGGTTTTCACAGGTGTGAGCTGTTCAATACAACGTTGGACCAGTATGTGAGAGGCATTGCATAGAAGCTGAGTTGCTTCCGTTCAACACCGTGGATGACTTGGATGGTATAATGCCCTGTTTTGTGTAGTGGTCACTGCATTTCTAGTCAGAAACTTTTAGGGAGATCCCTAAAGTTTGAGCAATACCTTCTTTTTTTTTCCATTTCATTAATTTTATTTTACTCCTACGACTTGTGTGACTCATTCCAATATATATAATAAACTCAAGATACTTAAATCATGTGACTTATGATAAGGATATTGACACCGACTCTTGGATATGGTCAATAAATACCTTCGAAAGATAAAATGATATCCTATAATCATAGGAAAATTTACTATGATCCCACGTTGCAATTCAGAGTAGCTGTGACGCCTTCATTCATGTTTTTTGTAGGCAATACGTGTTCCTTCTTTTTTTTCTACAGCCCGAATTCCATGACTGATAAATACGTAAATATGAAAGTCTAGGCAGTAAAAAGTTTGATAATAAGACAGTTTCAGTAATCAAAATTATAAGTAATTACGAAGTAATATAAATTGGTAAATGGAAGTTTTAATATTATTAGCCTCGAGTTAATGTTCGAAAGAATCTAGTAGTATGAAATTGATGTAAATTAAATATAGATAATTTGAGTGCATTCATCATTGATCGAGTCGTATAAATAAGACTCAATAAATAAATAAATAAGTAATTTTCAATGATAAATATGACCTTATTTTAATAATTTTTCCTTTATGAGCACTTAATAAAAATATGAAAAAGTGCTTATTTGGACACTTTTGGAACGCACATGTTTTTGTTTTTCACGTTAAATCCATAAGAGCTAGTTATATTTGCTTACACATTAGTCTTTCCTTAATGTGTAGCTAAACACAACAATGAACTTTTTTTTTAAAAAAAAAATTATAATTAACTTGTGCACTTAATTTTTACGAAAGTCCTCTCATCTAACTTTTATGCTAATATAGTAAAATGTATAAATTGATTTTAACATACAAGATTAAAATAATTATCTGTAAAATTTAAATTTATTACTGTTTCAACAAATCTCAAGATAATAAAGTACAATTTACTTTTCATTTCTTTATTTATCAACAAATACATTTTAGCACTAATTCCAAACAATTTATTATGTCCAAACAAATTTTCAGCCATTTAATCCAAGTATATTTTGCTCATCAATGTTCAGATGTCACCGTTTTAGTTGCGATAGAGCACAACAATTAGACAGATTTGAACTATGATTCCAGCATAGAACTCCACGATCTTTATTACGTCTTCCACTTCTCACATTATTAAATCCAAATTCTTTTAAGAGTCTATGTATCGAATTACCTATGGAGTAGTGACTTGTACTAATATCAATATTTCTGTTCCTTTCCTCTGGTCACACCTATCTAACATGAAACTGCCGTTTATTATTCTATTCTACAACTTTCAAGTTAAAGAAAGCTTTGTCCACACAAATTGTTAGGCGTGCGGCTACATTATCAAAATATTTAGGTAGTAAGAGTACGATATTTAACACAAGCAAAAATATTGTGTCAAAATGTACACGAAAATTTTTATTAACACCTATAGTTAACTTCCTCGCTGACCTCAAACAGTCAAACCTAAAAAGAACCTCTACATTCCTAAGATATTATATTGTTATACCCACCATGGCTTGTCTATTAGATCCTTCGAGAACATGTACCTGAACCGAGAACAGTAAGGCAGCCATTCTATGATCTGAGATGACTTTTTATTGGATTTACGATCAAGGCATTTCTCTATTGAATCATGCAGTTTCTTGTCAACACTTTCCATGACCCATCCAAGGAGATCATCTAAGCGGATTGATGCTTCTCTAGAAAATCTTTCCACCAATTTGGGGAGAAAAACTTTGCTTGACTTCTTCACAACTACATTTGCTTGGAGAAACTCTCTCTTGGCAATATTCAGCTGTTCTCTTATATTTGACGCAGTGTAGACTTTTAGCTGCAGCACAGTAACAAGAAAAGTCTTGATCAACTCTTCAAAATCAGGGTATCAAAGAGCAGGAAGTAACAAGAGCAACCCCCTACACAAACAACATCAGATTTTCCCAATGATATCAAACTGCAATTCCTTTGAGACAAGTAAATGAAAGAAAAATTACCACAGGATCTGACAATGCTCCAGTGCAAAGAGCAAAGCAAACAAGGGGTTGGAAATCAGTAATACACAATTTTGAGCTGATAAGCTGTTTTTCTTCACCATTTTTCTTCCTCAAGGCAGCAGACACAAAGCTTTCAAGCCACTGTGTTTGATAAACAAAAACAATAATCAGATGAAACATTAGATGCCATCCTAACATAAAAATTGGTATTAGAAGTTTCCACTTCCAATTATGTTAACTTTTTAAATATAATACAAGGAAAAGAAATTAGGTCCTAATGGAGTTCTAAGTTTCTCACTCGCCGAAAAGAATTACACTAAAACTTCTTGTAGAGTTGTGTACTTCAGTACTTGTGTTCTTCTCTTTCCGGATGAGAAGTAAACCCTATGGGGCCTTTCGGTAGTTAGAGCATCTCCAATGGGGGTTGCTTATAAGCAACCCCCATTGCAGATGCTCTTAGGATAAGGAATAAAGGAAACAGTCCAATTCTTTTGTGATCCCTCGCTTAGTGAGTTAGTCAAACAGGATAAGCTCTTCGTTTGCTGTTCGTTAGGTTCAGTTTTATATGGTATTGGGTTAGGAAGCATTATGATAAGATAATTTTTTTTGTTTTCCCTTTCACCTCATCTTCGCAGAACCAAATCACACGTCCCCGTTCTCTGTCCCACAATAAAAAAAAATAACACTTTAGCAACAAAATCTAACAATCAGGAGTGTCTTACTTTTTTAACCAAGTGTCAAATTCTAATTGCCGGGACAAAAAACAAGGACACGTGATTTCAATCCTCACCTTCGCATTGCACAATTGCTCTTTCACTTTTGTTGTCATCACCATTATCATTGTTGTCACTTGTACTTCTATTGATGCCACCACCACTATCAACCCCTCTTTTCATAAGGGTAATTTTGTTATTTATGTACTACTTATATTCTTACCTACTATGTTATATGTTGCAAAGTCACCTTAATTGCGATCACCCCTAAGTCCCTAACTTGTTTTAGTTGCGGTTTCTTTGAGAGCTGTCTTAATTGAAGCTTCAAGGGTGGTGGCTTAGTCCCCACATGAATTAGAGATATGACTTAAATAGAGTTTATGAGTGATTATCACCTTACAAGTCAATTTTATGAGATTAAATTACACTCAAACTCTAATATAATATGTTTTTAGAACTTATTCCAAATCTATTGTTAGGTCACATGTGTTTGCCATGCACTGGGCCAATAACATGAGGTGTGAAGGAGAGTATTGGAAAAGTGCCTTAATTGCAGTCCACCTCGAGCCCGCCTTAATTGCAACCTCTTTGGGGGTTGCCTTAATTGCAACCTCAAAAGTGGTGGTTTAGTCTCATATAGATTAGAAATATGACTTAAATAGAGATTATAAAGCTTGCCAACTCAATTTCTAAGATTATATAGCATGTACCAAACACTAGATCCAACTTACATCATAGCCTACTTCGAACCACCTTTCTTATCCTTACCATTAAATAGCCTTTTAAGTTTACAAGATCAATGGTGATTGTTAAATCAATGTTGTAGAATACCAACTTGCAAGCAGCAGATGCAAATTATGAGAAAAGCCTGTGATTTATAAGTTATAACCCTCACCTCAAAACAGAAAATATATAAAGAGTTGCAGTATTTGAACCAATCGAAATATTCCAAGTTCCAACATTAAAATGCATCCATAAAACTGGGAAACTTTTCATATATTTAGAGAAGTCCATGTTTTTACACGAGGGTCAGATGAGTACCCGTCCAATGCGGGGTGTTCGGAAGCAAAATATCGCTTGTTCTATGGCATTTGCACTTATGATATGACCGCCAATGTTGTAAGCAGCCTACAATACACAGTTGTACTCGTTATTTCATATTTTCCATGATGTATCAACAAAAAAAGGAATACGAATAAGATTGTACCAATGAGAAAAATGGAAGTGCTACAACTGTATGACTATGACATCACAGGTTAAAGTTACTTCTCAACGGAATCTAAATGTCCTCCAAATACGATAGCAACTTTAGATTACACGCCTTTTGGTGACTTAAGCCTTGTAAATGCTAACAAGTAGTTAAGAGAAAGTGCATGAGAGACTATTTTTTTTCCTACAAGGAAGATTTTAGTTGATGTTCTCTGTAAATGTGGCTATTTCTTTGTAATTTGTTGGATTAAGATAAAAACATAAATATTATTTGGGTATGGCTCCTGGTCTAGGCATCGCACTAACAATGATTGGCTTGGGGAGAACACCTCGGAGAAAGTATAATCCTTCAAAAGTTTTAATAACATTCTTGAAGGGTTAGATAATCTCTGCATCAAAAACTTTTCAGAACATCTAAAAACTTGAGAGACTTTGCTTCTGACTAAGGAAAATATCCAATCAAATAAAGAAATTTAAGAAATAAAGTACCTTGTGAAACAAGGCCAGTCTCTTGAGAGAGCCCTGGGGAATTCCATACGCTAAATATGCCTGTTAACAGTAAAAGAAAGTTATACGTGCTGAAAGTTGGCAAATAAAAATCAGTCATGTGAGTGTGAATGTTACATGCATCACAAGAGCATTATGCACGTTGATCCAGAACGCAATTTGTCCATCACATTCCATTCGACTGATATTCACCCTTTCGAGTTGTTCAACTAGTACTCTGAAGGAAATGAGTACAAGAATGGGTTAAGTTCGCAATTCAATCATAAGAATCTAGGGTGTGCTTGAACGAGAATGGCAAGTAAGCATAAACTAGAACTGAAATATCCTTCCATTAAAAACAGTCGGTTTAGATAATGCAAAATTGTCGTGTTCTCTCAAAAGTGAAACTTTTAGGAATTCCATCTATATTAAGGATTTTAATACCTTTTTTTTAATATTTTTCTTGATGTTTTTCCGTTTTTATTATTTGACTCATGCTCATCCTTCATAACATGAACTATTTATTATTATTATTATTATTATTATTATTATTTTTATCTATCAAACAGGATCTTATGCATCAATTCTCTACCACTAAACCGACTATAATGTTTCCATGACGAACTCTTTTTACTATAACTTTTATATAATCTTCTCATATAAATCATATCGGGCAAGATTTTTTCAGTTTTTTTCTTCTGAAAATTGTAGCTCTAATTTTAACACTTGTTTATGCTATTATCTTAAAGTACAAGACATGCATGGCAATAACATGCTATGCATTTGATGAAGACAAGAAATAGAACTAAAATCGAAAATTTGATATAAGTGGATAATAAAAATTTGATTGAATTAATCATGAATTTAACAACTAAAAAGTCATTGTGGTTACGAGACAAAGATAATAAATAAACTAGATAAATTCCAAATGAATTATAATTTTTTTGTTCAAAGGTGCGAAAACCAAGACATTTATATGCATCCTAATTATGGAAAACTTATGATTTATCTTTGCACATTCAAAATTTCTTTTATAGACACTTAATAAGTTAGTAACCTTCATTTTCTATAGTACAAATTATTTTATTTGTTTAATTTTTCTAGTTTTCATTATTTACACTTTTTAATTATTATTTTTGTCTAAAGGACAAATATCAGTAAATTTTATAAAAAAAATTCTATATTTTATTACAAAATATTAATGTAAACAAAATTACACAAGTTATTTTCATGATGATTATTTTAGTATATTGATAAATAAATAATCATAAATCATATAAACTCCACTTCAAAATGACAGTCAAGTTTCAATACATAACTATTTTTAAAAAAAAAATAAGTAGAAGTCGTGATTGAAATCATGACTTTTTTTAAGCATAAATCGGGCTCAAAAGCAAGATTTCTTCATTATTATTTTTTTAATGTTAAAACAATATTTTTATGTAAAATAAAAAATATATAAAAAGAAAAAATATTATGTTTTGAAACATAACTTCTATTTTTGAAGTTATCTTTTACAGACACACCTTACACATTTCAGAATTTTTTCTAAAAGAAAAAATACTAGTTTTGGGATTTGCCCAAATATATAACAGTGGGCAATTGAAAATTACTTTTCCTATGATGGCCATAGAACTATTAGTTATCAAGTTTCTAATTTTCCGAACAAGGAAATGATTTCAAGGTACGACACCAACTTAAGACTCTTTATAAATGCATGAGAAGCATCTTGGTATTCATATTTGTAACATCATCTTGAAGCTATCATACTTAAAGAACCAACCTGTAGTTGTCCATGGCGTAAGAAGCATGAGAAGAATGACGTTTGCGAGTTGCTATCCAAGATATTTCCACAACTGATTTGCAAGAACAGTCTCGATCCTCTGCAACATGTCTTTGCCGTACAGCATGAGTGGATGACCTAGATAATAAAGTCGACTTACTTTTTTCGGTATTTACAGAAGACGCACTACGAAGCCAACAATATACAGTTGCCATACACTTCACCATCTCCTCAGAAAGCCTGTTTGGGCACTGGTTTAGATGATCTTTTAAAGTTCGCAATACTGGAGTTTTCTCCGTTGTGGAAAAATTCTCTTGAACCTGATATATGATTAAGGTGAACATATTGGGGCAAATATCAAAAGGGCATCTTTAGGATACTAATGCATATATTTCACTGAAAAAACAAAGGAAAGGAGCAACTACAGCAATATATTATACCTTGGTGGAATCAAGACAAGTCTTTCCTAGATAAACTTTGCCCTTGCCACATGATAAAGGAGCATAATTTGACCCAAAGATTCTATTCTTCAAGTCATTATTAGAAATCAGAGCATGCAAGGGCCGCAGGGGAAACTTTTTTGATGAACAGAAAGCACTTGAAATTATACTTGGATGCTTCCTGGATTCATGCTTTGTGTGAGCCGGTGAAGCCACGCCAGAATTTTGTTCAGAAGGTGGCCGGCTAACACAATGTTCAAAAATACTTCTGTACATGGCAAGCACATGTTGCTCACGGCTTGTAACTTCTTCTTCAAGTAACTCAATTTCAGTAATTAAATCTTTTGTCTAAGGAGAAAAAAAAAAGCAAAAAATAGTTAATTTCTACAAAACAAACAAATACTTATGGCCATTACTTGCATGAAAAATATCACATTGTTGATTATACAGGTTGATCAAAATTTATAATCCAAGTGAAGTGTCCCTTTATGCTTATCACAAGCTACAGTCCTTTACATGAGAATGAGCTCCTCTGGTCCTAATAATTTATAAAAGCCTGAATGGCTTATTTTATGTTGAGTCAAGTTTGTGAAACTGAAATACTTTAATAAAATGTCACAAGACTGTGCGTACAAAGAATTGCACGAGACAGAAGTCAAGGACCAATTTAACCTGAAAGCTTAAGTTATTTGTTGGATGCCCAAGAATGGTTTATATCCCTACCATTTCCCCTGCTATCTTAACAGCTTAAAGTTTGAACAGTGCTCAGGCCCACTTCCTGATTAGGAAATGTCAAACTACCTGAGCAGCAAAGTGCCTGTGTCCAGGTGATAAAGTACTTGAGGCACGGCCCATTGCTCTCTCGAGCAGCATACGCATAGATTTTTCCTGCTGTAGGTGTATCTGTAGCTGCTCAACCTGCAAATCAGTACATCATGTGGTTTGGTCATCAGTAAAATACTAAGCTATGGCCATCTTACGGGAAATAAGAACCTACACAATCTGGCGTTGTCTTTCCATAATTTAAAGCCCTTCATGTTTCTAAGCTATGACCATGTGAATTCATGAAAGAGATAAAATACAGAAGATGCATTTCCCAAAATGATACACACTATGATTTCTTATGCTTTGCTTATATCCATATAATATTTTTTATATTTCTTTTTCCATTGTGATTTCTGGATCTTAAAATGCTTCTAAATTACACATTATTGACAAAGGTCAGTTCCGGTTCAGGTCTTCAAGAATTGCATCTCAGATCCCACAATGAAGTATTTTCAAACTTATAACCTGCGAAAAGAGTGTTCCATATTGTTCTATGAAACACATTAATTTATATCAATCAGTTCCAATATCATATAATCAACTTCTTTCCTTTCAAAGTCATGTCGTTGGTTGGAACTTGGAAATCCTGTGGTTTTTCCCCCCACTTCTAAATTAAAGTTTTATTTTGCATTAGAAAACTAAAACTAGAAGAAAACAAACATGTTTGGATACAAGCTTAGTAGTGCTTTTGAGAATCTTCTACTGAAAAATACTCTTTATTTTCGGTAGAGAAGCTCTTAAAAGTGTTTCTAACTTGTATTCAAGGCTCCAAATCAATTTTGGGGGAAAGATGAGAAATCCAAGATGCAGTATAGTGTCATTCCGAGTCACCTCAGTCTGCAAACTTGAACATAATTCTTCACAAGAAATACCTAAGTTAAGAATCTAGATATCCAGAGATAAATTCCACCAAACAAAAATGAGAGATAAGAGTCACTATATATCCAAATATAACTGACATCTTTTTCCAAGGATGCTCTATGACTTGAAGAAGTATTCTTGTTCATATAGGTGAGGTAGTCATGTAAAGGACTTGGTAACCTAGAAGCCCTCACTGAAGTTGGTGAAGCCTGTTCAATTAAAGTCATGAAAAATGAATTACTTTCACATTCAAAATCACAATACATAGTGCATGTTGAATGTAATCATTGTTTTAACCTAAGAATTTAGAGACATGACTTGAAAAGTGAAAGATCAAATTTATATGTAATCCTACAACTTACAATAAATTCATCCTTGTCTTTCTCTTTGGAATGCAAAACACCACCTCTTGAGAATTTCACGTTCTTGTCAGAAGCACTGAGAAGTGCAGAAAAAACCACATGCCATGTCACGACACAAAAACGAAGCAGCTCAAAACGACAACCCCAATTTACTTAAAAACATAAGTACATTATCAACATTTACAATCAACCCTTCTCACCACAACATAAAAAGTACTCAAACCAAGTTTTCTAAATCGTTATTTCTTTAACACATTCAGTCAGAGCCTATCATTCATTTTTCATAATGCCCTTGAATCCAAAACTCAAAAATAGAGAAAAACTTACAATTTTCATTGAAAAACGCCAATAACTAAATTTCACACCAATCTAACCAATTCAAAAAGAACCTGTTAGAGCGCCTGTGTCTAGAATGGACCGTAGAATCTGCATATAGAGCCACTTCTGCATCAGCGTGTTTGTGAAATACATTATGAAAGCGAAACTCACCCATCATTAATCCTTAACTATTCTAGTAACCCTCACTCTCGCATTGTTGTTGTTGTTGTTGTTCTCATATACAACGTAGCAGCACACATAAAGCACAAAGCAGAAATGGAAAGGGAAAAATAAAGTAAAAATGTGAAAGGCTAGTAAGAGAAAAAGAATGTGAAGTGAAATAAATAGCAATAGTTACCGAAAGACTGCGATGATCAGAGATAGTGATCGGAATTGAATTCGTTGAGCATGGAGTGGTTGGGCGCATTCAATGCAAGATTTAATTCGTGTACTCGTTAACACCCACTTCCTCTCATACACATGAAAATGGAAAGTACTACTACTCTCAGAAATTGGAATGCGGATTCGTTTCGCTTTTCAAATGCAAGTGTTGCTCCTCCTTCACCCGCCAATCATTTTTCCGTTTTAAATTCTGTTTTCCACTACTCCTTCCGTTTTTTTTTCATAGTCGTTTAAGGTTTTGCACGGAAATTAAGGAAATCATTGATATTTTAGTTTTCAAAAATATTTATTACTTATTTTCCTATTTTACCCTTCTTTTTTTTTGCATTTTTAGACTGTTGAACTACTCTATTAAATAGTTGTCATTTTTTTTGTTTTTTTATAGTATTTTATTGAGAACATATTGCTCTTATAAATGCACATTAACTTTATATGAGTAGTTAGAGAAAAATTAGGTAGATATTAAAAATAAATACACACATTTTTCAGGAAACATGTATTAATTATCAAGGGTAAAAATGGAAGAAAAAAATTAATAACTCATTAATTTTAGTAATATGACAATGAAAAAAAAACAACAAACTCTAACAAAACGAAACGACTATGAAAAAAAATCGGAGGGAGTACAATATTCACTTTCATGAATTTGCTTATTTTTATCGTAAAAACCAACAAAACTCTAAAATTGTTTTTATGTTTCTCTTTCCTTAACCCATTTGGGACTTGATTTAGATTTCAAATAATTTATTTAAGAAGAATTAGGGTTAAAAATTTTACTTTGCTTTTAGAATGATAGTAAGTTTGATATACTCCCATCGTAACAACATAAATTAATAATAATAAAAAATTTAAAATAGTTATTATAATTAACAAACTCGTCACATATAACAATTTTTATTAATTGATAATATATATCTCTTTATATAATCAATATATACCATTTACTTATAATTGTGAATTAGAAAAAAAAATACAATTTCAAAATATAGATACTCATAAATATCACGATAATGGCTGCAAAGGTGAATGATAATAGTCTTAAAAGTAGTAATAATTTTTTTTTTTAAGTTATAGTTGAGTTTTCATTTTAATTATTAATTATTTTTATTTATAATTGAAAGACTATTATTTATTTATTTTTTTTCCATTTTTTTTAACAAAATACACTTTTATTACATATTCTTTCTTTCTCTCTCCCTCTATATTTATAT